GGCGGCCCCCCGACACCAACAGTCGCGCTCCGCACGCCTCAAGGTCAGCTGCGGCCAAGCGACGATCGGCTCGCTCCGATCGCTGGGCGCGGTCACTCACCGGCCCATCACCCGCCTGCCGATCACCTGTCCGCCTCGCCGCGCGCGGGCCGCTCGCCTGCTCGCCACTGCCGCCGCGCGTCCCCGCGCCGCCACGCTTCCCTGTGCACCTGACCGCGCTCGAGCTGCGCAGACGGCGCGCGCTCTGGCAGACAGAGCAGCGGCCGCCCAGGCGGTCGCTGCTCCGCCCCGTCCGAATCCGTCCGCCCGCGCGTGCCGCTGCCGCCGCCGCCGCCACCACCGCCGCCGCGTTTCCCCGCGCCGCCACGCTTCCCTAAAAACAGGCCGTGCCAGGCCGTGCCAGCCCACGAGGCTGCCCGCCCGTCCCGGGGGACACACCAAACAAGGGGTGGGAGAAGGACAGGGTCCCCACCTGCACGAGCAGGATCTTGTAAGGACGATCAGGGAAACCACGGGCTCATCGCCGAGGAGCTTGCTCCCCCCTACGCCGCTGCCCCCGCTGCGCAGCCGCCTCACCGCCGAGTGCACTGCGCTCTCCGCGCCCCTGACGATTAGTGAGGAGGTGGTGTTGCACAGCATGGAGCTCGGCGAGCGTTTAGCGAGCCCCTCAGCTAAAACTTCTTTCTTTTCAATCTAAAGATATAAGGGCCTCGTGTCGTCGTATTTCTTTTTTCACACGGGTTTTCCGCAGCCAGCTGAAGCTTTTGGTACTCCTGGATATCACCTGTGGAGCCGCCCGCAGATCGACTCAGCCTGCCGCGGTCCTCGGTTACAAGGTCGCCGCCACCGGGCTGACTGGCGCAGTCGTGAGCACAGCGGTGGTCGCGAGGTGCTTGCGAGCACTGCCACAATGCTATCGCATAGCACATTCCGCCGGCGTATGCGGCCCACCAACTAACTACGCGAATAACCATCTGCACCCTCCCCTCCCTGGAAGATGATGGCGTCGCGCGAGTCTCTCGAGGCCGAGCGCAGCAGGGCGAGCGCCTCTCACGACTCGCCGCCGTGCCCATGGCCACCGCACGGTTATCCCGGCCACCGCACGGTTATCCCGAGCCCGTGCCCCGCGAGCTTGGCGGGGATGAGCCAGCTCTCCGGCCTTGCCGAGATGTCGCTCGAGAAATGGGGGCAAGGAGGGGCGGCAGGCGAGCCGCCACGCCTCGCCTACCGCCGCGCAGACAGCGCGCTCCAAACTCTCGTCTCTCAACTCGCCTCCGCGCCCCTCCTCTGCCGTCAACTCGCCTCCGCGCCCCTCCTCTGCCGCCGCAGGAGGGAGTCTGGAAGAAGTACGTCAAGGCGGACGGCCGGAAGTGGTACTACAACACCGAGACCAGAGTGATGCAGTGGACTGTGCCTGAGCCCTTCTGCAAGCTCGACGGTGCCCCGCGTCTTTTGATAGCCCGTGACATCTCAGATACTGCAGTCGTATTCAGACGCACAAGTGTGCCGAGATGATAACCTCATCTTGGGTTAGTCCATGCATCCCAGGATGCAATGTGGCATCTGAGGATGCGCAATGCATCTCAGGAACATGAGCGCGTTGTCGGATTTTTTCCAATTTTTCGATCAACAGTGTCGGAG